AATTGAAATTCCAAAGGCAATCGCTTATTGTTGGACACAATGCCAATATTTTAGGCTTTTTGGCAGATTCTATGTGGGAAGATACATACAAAAGGGAAGTGCGAATTGGTATGGAAGCACTACCAACATTATTTGAATTGGATAATCTTAATTCATTTTCAACCACTTTAGGCAGCTATTTTCTGGCTTGGCGCACTAAAATTCAAAGCTTAATTGGTCACATCTCTGGCAGAGGCCTTTCTTTGCCATCTCTCCTTCACAGCATTTAGCAACCTTTAGAAATCTTCTTTTCTGAAGACTGTTGAAATCTTTTAAAGTTATGATGGTCTCAAGAAAAAGTTTTGCAGTTCCTATTTTCAGTAGGACTTTTTCTAATGCAGGTTTTGGAGCTTGTGTCCACATGTCATTTTCCTCCTTGTGCAGTGAGCCATCGTTGTTGTTATGATGTATTATCATACTTCAGCACCTAAAATATTTTAGTGAATATTCTTGGTTAATAAATGCACTTACCCTTTCCACGCTAAGCTGGCCCATAAGCCCTGCCCCTCGTCTACAGCTACAAATAGCTGCTTGGTTCCCCTGAGTGTCTTACCCTCCCCCCGGACTGTGCATGTACAAGCGAGTATTTATATCAACCTTTTAAATGATAAATATTTAAAGTTTTCTAACATCATCTCCTTTTTTCTCATTTTTTACGGGTATTAGCCCACCCAGCCTAATGCCTTGAAATCATCGGCATTTTGATAGTTCAGATATTAAACATTATTTTAGATAATAACAGGTCTGCTTACCAATTGTGAACACATTTAGTTAAAATTTTATATGAACTAATAAGCTATTAGTATAGAAGAGGGGTGTGGCTTATGGGACAGGTTTGCTTGGAAATACTAAAGTCATCAACTATCAAGAATTACACCTTGGCTAATCAAACAGAAATCTCTTCACAGTCTCATAATGGCCAAAAAACTGCACTAGTATGGAAACTGGTAAATGGCCATCATTGTTCATTATGTCAGGGCCTGGTGGGTGGGGGGGGGGGGATAATAATAATAATAATAATAATAATTTTCACAGGTCACTGATTCCAATATCTTCCCGAGCTGTAGTACTTCCCTGTTTGATAGCTGCCTACTACTTATTTATTATGGGGTTTTGATGGGAAATGCAGTGAAATGATAGATGCTAGTGTATTGGGGAGTGGGGTTACAATGAATAGTCACATGTAATTTTTTACAAGAATTAGTATTACCACAAATACTTATACAGAATTTATGCTATATGAGAATCTCAAGTCACAAATGACTCGTTAAATTACACCTTTATAATATTCACAGAAAGATGAACCTGAGTGGTCCCCCTCATCAGGTACATAATGTAATATAAAATAGCACCTTAAAATCATAACAGGTAATGACAATCATCTTGTAACAAATGCTGAGGTAAGACTCCACTACAAGACTTTACCTCATACTTTGCCTTAATGATGGGACATAAACTGGAATCGCTCCACTACTCTGTGGGGGAAACCTTGAAGAGTGATCTTTACCTGTTATCCACCAACCAAGACTGGGAACTGGCTCTGTGTCCAATTATCGAATGCTTCCACCCTTCTTTCTTCATTCTCTAGCCCCATTATCCACTCATACAAGCTTTTCCCCATATTTATTTGCATCTCTTGTATATGCTATTCACAGCTTTGAGCCTGTTTTAACTGTTTTACATCAGGTCATCACACTTCCCACCAAACTCACCTACAATTTCATTTAATTCTAACACTGCATCACAGAATTCTAGGAGACTTTCATTAGCCTTCTGCTGCCTCTTCAATAGATTAAGGCTTGCAATGGTACCATTTAACCAGGGTCTGTAGACTTGCTTCAGATAGCCTGTCAGCTCATCTACGCTTACCCACAATCATTTCGCATAATATACTCTATCTGCTGCAGGGCCTATGAGATTCCTTATTATAAACTCTTATTTTTTCTACCTCATCAGCCTCCATTTGTCTGAGGGTTTGGTCCACTTCCCTTAACCACTTTCTAACATCACTACCCTGTTTTCAATTGAACTTGGAAATTGACGGCTCTGCCTTGTGATAAATTATCTTACCTGAGCTACCTTGCTGTCTTAATGTATCTACTCTGGATTGGTATGCTACTTCTATATCCATAAGCACTTGTCCTAATTGTTTAATGTCTACGGTAACTACTATGTAATGTTTTTTCTCTTAATTGTTTACTGTGTGACTGATATTTTTCCTTTTAACTGTTATATGTGAACCTGATTTTCTTTCTTTAATTGTCTGACTTGATTTTCATGGATCTCAATTTCCCGTTTAATGCTGGATTCCCAAGCTACCTGTAGTTCCGTCAGTCTAACATCATGGGCCTCCCTTAATTGTTTAGTGTATGTGTGTCTGATGTTCTTTCCTTGATTGTTTATTGTGTGCCTGATGCTCTTTCATTAATTGTTCAATGTATGCCTGATGCTCTTCCTTAAATTGCTAGACCTGATTTCCATGCTCTTCAATTTGCCATTTACTACAGGCATCCCAAGCTGCCTGTAGTTTCCACAGTTTAACACCATGAGCCTCCCTTATTTGTTTGATGACCTTCATAGTCCCTTTCTCGCTGCCTAATTCTGTCTTCATTCCTAACGCTTGACACACTATGCTTATCCTGTATTTTCTGCCTGTCACAACTAACTCCCACTTCAGTTACACCTTCCATGGCAGTTAGGTCACTGTCAGTTTCCAGATTCACCTTTGATTCATTTTCTAATTCCAATCTGCTTTTCCACTCTAAGCACACACACACGCACAGTTACTAGTATGCAGCTAACCCATGTAAGTACTGTACATCCAGAATCGATGTGTTAACCAACATAAATTCAAGCCCTGACATGATGACATGATTGTACAATTGTAGCTTAATCTCACAATTTCCAAAATTACCAGTCAAGCAATTTTACTCTGTGCTACCAAGCTATGGCTGTTTGTTTCATATTGGGGTTGATAATAACACAGTGGAGGAATCCCTCAGAATACAAGATCTGCATAATAAAACATATACTGTACAGTATTTATATTGTACACACTACACATATTATATAGTACTGTACTGTATATATTTGTAACCATGACTGGTATTTTTGGAATTGGGTATGAAAAAGTCACAGGTAAATTTCTAAAAAAGAAGAAAAAAAAAGACTTTTCATCTTCACAAACTATGTAACTGTATACAGTATTAAAAATAGTCCATGAAGATCTTATCAAGAATCACACATGACTCATAAAACTCACATTAATATAATATTCACACAAAAGATTACAAACAACATTAATGTCCCATACATAACAAATAATGTAAATAGTGTTGTTAAACAATATAGAATATTGCAAATAGTGTAAAAAATGGGATTTTAATTACAATTTTATGCAATTAATGTAGTTGTATTGGGATCCTGGTTCACAAGTGCAGATGATCGTAAGTCGGGCGGTCAGAACTCGGGGTCTGCCACTATAAATACTGTACCTCACTCCTAAAAACAATATAATAACATGCAGAACATCAAAATAATATAATGTCAGGTACTGTATATGTTCAACCAATAAGGTGCAAGTTGAAAATACACCAAGACCTATTTATTCACGTAAAGCGAAGAATGACGAAAATGATTCCGGGACTTAGAAACCTTCCATATCAAGATAGATTAAAGAAACTAAACTTGCATTCCCTAGAAAGATGAAGAATGCTGGGAGATATGATAGAAGTATTGAAGTGGGTGAAAGGAATCAATAAAGGGGATATAGATAAAGTTCTTATAATATCCGAGCAGGATAGGACTCGTAGCAACGGATTTAAGTTGGATAAGTTTAGGTTTAGGAGGGAGATGGGAAGGAACTGGTTCACAAATAGGGTGGTAGATGAGTGGAACAAGCTTAGCAACTTTTTGGTAAGTGCTGGAATGCTGGAAAGTTATAAAAGGAGGCTAGATAGATTCATGGATGATAGGAGTGGTTGTAACTCTAGACAGGAGCTGCCATGCACAGGCCAACCGGTCTATTGCAGACTCCTTATTTTCTTATGTTCTTATATAAAATGTATTCCAGCAAGCCAATAGTTACCCAGTTTCCCTAATTATTACTATACATATTCTTCAATCACCTTACAGGTACTATACTGAGGTAAGGATTTGCAGCTTCAATTATAAGAATTAAGTGATATTCTTACATCATTATTCCTGTCAGAAATAATACTCATTTACTCTCTGAAAATATAATTTTAACAAATAAGAAAAACACATAATACACTTATTATAGGCACTCTACCTTAACTACTGTACTGGTGTTACAAAAAAAAGTCATGAATTATTAAACAAATGGGCTAAGGGTCTGATGTGCTAATTAATAATTCAGTATTTGAAATACATGAACACTTCCTTCGCATCATAAGACATATTGCACATCATTTGGAATACTGTATTTAGAAGTCTTAGTTCAACAAATAAAGTGCATTCTATCTACACGGTTAAGACTGACTTAATTATCTCGTCGAAGTGGTTATTTGACCAGGCTGGCCTCCCGAATAACCATCGGCTATTTGACCGTGACCTTGGTGATTGTATATGACTTACTATGATGTAATGGGATTCTGGTCAGGATGGCTGTTGGCATTCCACTAGTAATTATTATCCTTGTGTGCACTTCTGCAGGTGCACAAACAAAGTTGTATTTAGGTTGTATCTTTGTAGCTCAATGGCACCAGCTCGGTTGCGCATTTTACGCAATTACATCAGAATATGGCTGATCAACAAATTACATGCTATTAGAATAAAGTAAAATAATTAAATAATTAGCACATATTTAGAGACCACGGAGGGTGTAGAATAAGTATATTGGGATGTGTATAAGATGCCTGCCTTTGTTTACGGACCGCCATATTGGAGTCCGACCTGTGACGTTTGCCAAAGTAAGATTTTCTGTTTTTAGTGTAGTCCTCCTTGTTTCGGTCAATGTCTTACTTTTGTATACTGATCCCCTCCTGTACTATAAGCATATGGTTGTTCTTGTAGTTTTATCGTTCTCTATTGACGTAGGATAACATGATGCCAATAAGCGAGTTTGACAGCAGGGAGGCTGGGAGGGGGTGGTAAACGCTGCTCGCTGTAGTTCTAGTTAACTGCCTGTCTGCTTCATTTGTCCTGTTGGGCAATATGTCGTTCACAAGAGGTAGTCAATGTGGTATTATTGCCTTTAATTGCCTCACAACTAGGGGGTGGTGAACGCTGCTCGCTAATCCTTAAGTTTCATCAGCCTGTCTCCTTCATCCATGGCGCTAGATATTACATTTTTTTAAATCACTGTTTTTCTTCGTGAGACGTCTTTTAGACTGTTTTAGAACTTTGATTTTCTTTCTTGGGGTTAACAAGCTAAGCTTCTCTGTGACTAAGTTTTCTTTTTAGCGTGTCATTCACGTGAAATATGTTCAGTTACTGTAGTTTCGTTGATGTGAACTGATGAAGAGGGGTTATCTTTACCTCGACTGTGAACCAAAGTAGGGACACGTTTAGGTGGAGATTTTCTTTTCCTTTTAACATTTTTCTGTAGATGTTTGGAATAAGCTTCAAATATACTAGGAACAGCTCCACTACGAAGCCGAACATATGATAAAGATGTTCGGTCATGTCCTTGTCTCTGAAGTGCTTTGAGCACAGACGTGTATGCTTAGATGCAACAAAATGTTCACGACTTGTTGCCCGAACCTATTCCTGTCTTAAGGCCTCATCTTTAGGAAAACTGTAAATTAAGAGAGAAAAACTACTTCTAGAATGAAAGCTATTAAGAAAAAATATATAGTATCCTGAGACACAATGATCTTTATTGCGACATGCCGCACATGGCTGGCAATATGCATAAGCTTAATTTTTCATGTTAAGAAACAATATAAATTTTCACTGCATGTATTGATACTGAATGCTATATGGCTGATATTACTATGAAGCAGGTCGTTTTTATAGCTCAAAGAAATTAAAATCTAAGAATAACACTCGTCATTTATGAATGAATCCTTTAATATAACCCCTCTTGTCTGGTTACACACGCTTGCCACATGATCGTTTTTTTTTCCACTTTATACATAGTTCTATATCATTTAAGAAATTACTTACCGATGAAAGTTCTATATCACTTAAGAAATTACTTACTGGTGAAAGTTCTATATCATTTAAGAAATTACTTACCGATGAAATGTAAGATGGGGATCTAAGGTCTTGTCGAACCTAGCAGCACATCAATAAGCAGCACATGATACTGGCAATTTTATATGTTGTGTATACAAAGAGAAATATGTGCACCTATGAGCTGGTGACTGGCGGGACACTGCCGCGACTAGCCTCTTTTGCCAATCACAATATGGCCGCCGGCAGGATACACCCCATTTCGTCACCAATATTAAATCCGTTTCGTCACCACTAACAGACCGTTAGTCGCTTGCTGGTATTAGAGTGATAAATTGTTAGCTATTATTTTACACGAATAGAAATTACACATATATACAGACGACTTGAGAATTATTGTCATTATTATACATGAATATTAATTATTTAATAAAGAAAACGATTAAAACATTGGTAAACAAAATACAGAACAAATGAAGGTGATTCTTCTTCGCCACCTTGGTTGATTTGCAATTGCAACTAGTTGCTGAGCGGAAGCTAAAATCGTGCACAAGAAAGCAAATCATGACAAATAAGACTGTCTCTGGAAGCCGTGGGACGAATATGAAGAAAAAGATATCACCACTTTTAATTTTCTAAAAAATTGTCATTCTCTTCCAAGCTTGCATGAGTATTAACAGTGTTTTTATTTTGGTTTCGTTTTAGTCTTTAATAAATTGTTTAAGTGAGATGCTTGCATGAGTAATAACGTTGTTACTTTTTATTTTCGTCTTGCATGATTCAATGTATTGTTATGCCAAGGCATAATTTTGTAATACAATTTTGTAAACTAGGTGTTTTGTATATTTTCTATCCCAAACAACAGTTATTTTGGCAAATTTGGTGAAATTATTGTGCATATATTGATGTATTAATTGTGTAAGAATTTTCTGGAATGTATTGCCCTTGAAATGTTGATTGAAATGAACGCGGTGACGAAACGGGTAAACAATGTGGTGACGAAATGGGTACACCCTGTTGAGCAATATGTCGTTTGCAAGAGGCAGTCAATATGGTATTATTGCCTTTAATTGCTCCACAACTTATGGCTTTTTTAATATACAGGGTATCTATCTTGTAGTTCAGACGATCAGTGGCTAAGAGGATAAATGTAAAACACTTTTCTTCTACCCAGTATGACATTTTCGTTGGAAACAAATGATTACCGAGATGCAGGTTAGGTTAGGTTGTTAGGTTCTGAGGTAACTATTCGCTCATTGGCTGTTCTTGGGCTTTGGTACGGTTTTCAATGTTTTACTCAAATCTGACTTACATTTCTTGTACAAATTAGCGGTTTTGCTCCCCAAAATTTTTGAACAGTTTAGTTTTTAACAGAAACAGCTAATTTGCAGAAAATTGGAGGTAAAATTTGAGCAAAACACACCAAAATACACAAAAAAAAGCCTATTCTCATGCCAAAGGAACCAACCTGCCTAACCTAACCTAACCTAACATACAAGGAGGAAAGGAGGAGACAACTGACTCTAAGTGAGGAGTATAACCTCAGGTAAACATGGCGGGAACCTGTGGACAGGCAATGGACGAATATCAACCGGTTTTAATGGCAAAACCTAGGGGGTCCGGGGGGGGACAGCTGGAGCCACTGGGATCTCACCCCAGGTTAGGTTAGTGTTAGGTTCTGATGGCAAAAAGTGGGGGTTAGATTAGGGGTGGGTTAGGTTAGAGTCTGTGGCAAAGTCCCAGCTGTGGCCACTGGGGTCTGGGGTGAAGCCACAGCTGGAGACTACTGGGCCCAGGTTAGGTTAGGTTCTGATGGCAAAACATAAGAACAGAAGAATGGAGGAAACTGCAGCAGGCCTATTGGCCCATACTGGGCAGTCCCATTTAACCCAACCCCTATTGCTCATATATCCATCCAACCTATGTATGAAACTATCCAGCGTATTCGAATTAAAGATGATGTTTGGTAACTTGTTCCATTCATCCACTATATTTCCAAACCAATGTTTACCTATTTTGCTTCAAAATCTAAATTTGGGGGGTTAGGTTGTATTGGGTTAGGGTTAGGGATAGGTTAGGTTAGGGATGGGTTAGGTTATGGTTTGGAGCAAAGCCACAGCTGCAGCCACTGGGGCCTGGGGTGAAGGCCCAGGTTAGGTTAGGTTAGGTTGTTAGGTTCCGATGGCAAAACCTGGGGGATAAGGTTAGGGTAGGTTGTTGGGTTTAAACGGCAAACTCCCCCCCAAAAAAAAGACTCCCCAAACATTGTAAGAGAGCTATATTAGTATAGCAAAATAATGTTTTTCCAATGATTTTTGATTAATTTTGAATGAAATTCACCAAAAAACATAATCTTGTGGCCATTGTGGACTAGGGCAATTAAAAGCAAGTTTACCGTCAATTTTCCTTTCTCTCATTTCAAAGGTGTAGCTAGAGTTTGATATGGGACATTCTGATGTTCAGGAAATGTGATTATAAACACACTAGTTTTAACCGAATATAATTTGTATTATCGTGGTAAAGTTTAGTGCTATTAGTTCACTTACATTACATTGGGTCATTGTTTACGACCTCACAGCTGCTGATTTTTCATAGAAAATTAATATAAAAATGTTGCAATTTCACTTGTGTTTTATAGGGGACACTGTTGTAGTTATAGCAAATGTTTTAAAAAGTGTTTATTTAAAAATTCAAGGTAAGTTAAGTTAACTTAACCTAACCTAACCTTAACCTAACATAACACCTGCCGTGGGCTAACTTAATGCTACTGAGATGGGAGAAGTGGCTGTGAAGTCTTCCATATAAGCCTTACATTACGGTATTTAATTTCTCATATCACCCTACAGAAGAAAACATGAGTAATGTTAATATGTTTATTGCAGGAATGTTAATATTGTATATACTTAGTCTTTCTCCCTGATCTCTTGGTAAATTCATAATGATCATGTACAGTTAGTGTACTTTATTTTCTTAAGGTTTTTCAAATCTTTATCCAAATGCATAGAAATTCAGCCCAGTGGTGGGTGAAAGGTAATGAAAATAATGCCTTTGAATTTATTTAGGAAACAGCGGTAGTGGATATTTTACCATGACTGGCTAAGTTCTTATTAACTCTGATTGGCTAATCATCCATTACTGGCAAACAACGCAAGAACTATATATGACTTTGACTCTGGCGGCATTTGGCCTTTACAGTATTTTGCCGTGAGTCGGTTGTTGTGTAGCTTTTGTGCATGGAAACTATTACCAAAAATAGAGATAAAGATTCGTTTTAGGTTGAACATGGAATTTGATATTTCTATTTACAGTATATTTTTTTGGTAGTGTATTTTAATAAATTTAACCGATAAGACCTCCCCAATTACCAGCAATATTGGTTGTTCAAAATGGGCAGTAGAGGGAAAATACTGGGTAAAGTACTGAAAAGAACAGCAAACATGCCTTTGAAAACCTTACCTAACTTGTAAAAAAATTAAAAAATACGTATGGTAATGTCTGAGACCACCACTACCACCAGAAGGAGTTGTTTGATTTTGTTCATTTCTTCCACATATGTTCTTATCATTATAAAAGAGGCGACCTAATCAACCAAAGAAACCTACCTAACTTAACCTAACTTGGTAACTGGAGGGGGGGTGGTGGTCCTCCCCATCATATTAAACAGAAAGTACTTTGCCAATCAGAGCACACTCAAGATAAAGTAGCATTAGTAGGAACTAAGCCGGTCACAGCAAAATATCCTCTACGGGAAACAGCACACCTCCACACCTTTAGCAAAATGATTAAATCATCAGTGCACTTTATACAGTAGGAATGAACCATTTTTATGAAATTGCACCAAATTTTCAGAAGATGTTGTTCGGATAATACTGAGTAATAAAATTGAGGAGTAAAGATCCATTTTAACGTCTTCCTAGCCGGGGGGCTCCACCCCCAGGACCACTTGCCATATTTAACAGAAAGTACTTATTTTGATATCTGGTACCAATGAAAGCAACTCTGGTGAAGCGTTATAGTGTAATTTTATGTTTTTAGTGGAAACGAAAGTATGCCCGGACTGAGTGGGTCGGTTGTAAACAAATTGATGACATGCAGCGACTTGGCAGATTTTTCTGAGGGGCAATGTATGGTAAATTATTCAACTATCCAAGAAGGTGGAAAGGTACCATAACTTATATCTAAAGTCCAAATAGCAAAATATTAACTCATTCTATAGAAACTGGCGAGAAGGTTAAAATGAATTTTAACCAATTGAGGCAACAACATTATAGTATTGTTTCTTTTTAGTCTATCTGTCGACCATAAATTACTTGTTAGTGGACAAGGCGTAAAAGAAAAGAGAAATAACGGGGTAAAAACCACTGCAAACACTGATTATATGGCAATAATTTCACGTCTACATCCTCTCGTAGGCAAAAAATACAATATTTACTGTAATTTTGGCGCCTTCGGATCTTTTGTGGTGACCATGTTTTGGTTCTCGCCGTCTGCTATGCAGTAGCATCTGCCATCTTTGTTTACATGTCAAGAAACCAACGACAATCTCATCGGGTGTGTTTAGTACAGTTTATATTGGATTGAAATCTTTAATTTTTTCTAGAGATGTTGTTTGGATGATAGTAAGTACGAAAATCGAAACGACAATGCACAGATTAGGAAGTTAGTTAAGGTTAGGTAAAGATAGGACTAATATATGACTCGTGGCCATCAGCAGTTCGGTAATTTTATTTATTTATTTATAGTTTTTTTAGACAGTTTTGTATGGTGATTACTTTAACTAATAGTCATTTTCTGGAGTAAGTGCTTAGTTTTCTAGATATAGGCGAGTTAAGATAGCATTCTCACAGGCGCAACATCAGCTGTGATGTGGCAGGTGTAAATAACGTACCATGAGGGTGAGGCTTTTTGAAGTGAGATAGATTGTATGACTGTAAACACGGAAGAAGGCAGAGCATTCCACAGTTTGGTTGTGTGAGGAAAGAAGGATGTACTATAACGGGTTATTCTAGTGTGACCTACATCCACAGAGAAACGGTGGGCACCGCATGCAAGACGTGTGTTACGAGCCCACGGTCTTGCTGGCGGTACACAGGCTGCCAAATCCACCGAACATTGCCCATTAAAGTGCCTGTAAAAGAGAGAGAGTGAAACATCATTGTGGCAAAGAGAAAGGAAAGAGAGATTATCAACTAAAGGAGGAGAGTTAATAAGATGAAATGCCTTTGATTCTACCTTATCTAACAGTTGGACAAAAATCGTAATGTGTACCCATGACAAGCGGGGTACCACAGGGCAGTGTATTGGGCCCGCTGTTGTTTGTTTGCTTTATAAATAACATGCCAGAAGCTGTACACTCCTCCATACAAATGTCTGTGAACAATGCCAAGTTATTTAGGGAAATTAAGAACCAAGCAGACTGTGAAGAGCTGCAGAAAAAGATCTCTGTGAGCTTCAAGAATGGTCAAAGAAATGGCTGCTATGATTCAATGTCACAAAGTGTAAGAGGATGTACCTGGAACATACCAACGGTAAGCAGGCATATCATATGTCCCAACAGAACGAAGAAACTGCATTAATTGAGACTAAATGCGAAAAGGGCCTCGGTGTGTATGTTGACAATGAACTGAAATTCTCGGGCCATTGTGAGAAGGTGAACCAAGCAACCAAATTATTAGGTCTTATGAGAAGGTAGTTCAGATATCTAGGTGGTCCATCCCTCATAACTATCTTCAGGAGCGAGGTGCTTCCCCGCCTGGAGCACTGTCACCCCGTCTGGTTCCCGAGATATGCTGGGGACTGTCAGTTGATTGAAAATGTCCTAAGGAGGGCCACCAGACTGGTGCCGGCACTTCGGCACCTCAGCTGCCCAGAGAGATTAGAGCTCCTTCAATTGCCAAGCTTATACTACAGACAGGTAAGGGGGGACCTAATTGAGGTGTATAAATATCTCAAAGGGCACTACTCAGTCAAGTATTCTTACCGGGAGCTGGCGGACGCTTGTCCCACAAGGGGTCACAGCTCAAGGTTGAAGAAGCCGCAAGTTCATAAAACTATGAGGGCTTACTTTTTTGGAGTGAGAGTTGTGAACTCATGGAACAACCTGCCAGAGAATTTTGGGACGGCACCGAGTGTGAGCTGTTTCAAGACCAAACTTGACCAGCAATGGAGCAGGTTCAGTTACATTCAAGAGCCAGTGCATGCCAACAGTGCATAACAGATGATAAAAGTATATAGTAATTATTTTGTGTTACTTAGTAGGATAGGTTAAGTTAGGTTAAATACTAAAGCTTAGCTGTGGTAGGTCTATATGGTAGAGAAAGACTTACAAAAAACATTTAATCTTGCTTGTTTAAAAATAAAATTTAACATATCAAAAGATATATTACATAAATTTAACCCAATTCCCAGATAGCATAGTAAATTATGATCATATTCTTATTAGTGATAAAAGGGTTGTTCTCACTTGATTTTTTTTTATTCATATCAACTTGTTACTTATTTCTAAAAAATTTCAGGCAATGATGAGTATACGGAATACCTAAGTAATGGATTCTCAACCTTATGGGAATATGGCCATGAATTTGCTGTCAGAGGCCCCAGAGCTACAGCATATGACCCATCCTGAAGCTATTACACCACCGCCCAAAGCTCCCATAGAGAAACAGGCCATAGTTAACCAAGATTCAGAGCCCTGTCTTTCAGTGGAGGTAATTGTTGAGCAGAAGGAGGAAGGGGATGCAGAAGATGATGAAGGGGTGCTAGAACTGGATGAACAACCAAAGAAACGAGCAAGACGTGGCAGAACAAAGGTACTTAACCTAGTACTAGAGGGAATCACATAAAGATTAACCCCCTCCAACTTATTTCACCCAATGATTAAACACCTCAACTCTACCAGAGGGGGTTAGATTAGGCTAAGTTAAGATAGGTTAGCTCACGGGTGGCTAATCTTAAGGTGAAATAAGCTGGTATTTAATCTGAAGGTGATCTACTGATGTTTTGTAAGTTTCTAAATACCTTGAGCTGTGTTTCATCTAGATTGTCCTTAATAATGCACAGGCCGATGCAACCGATGCGCTTTCATCACTCAAAAAATTCTGACCTATGCAAAGGTATATGCATCAGTCAAATAATTGACCTATCGGTAACTTGATCTCATTGTCAGTGTTGACCTGCTTGGCCCACCAGCTTCTGACCGTAGCTGTCACTCTCCATACCGGAGTGGCAGGTTTGACAAACTGTACCCAGGGATAGGATAATCGAAGCGAGGCCTGGGGGTTGGGTAACATCACAGGTAAGGTTACACTCACATCACCTCCTGACCCACATCACCTGAACTCCAGCCGGGATTCCCCATTGAGGCATCACACGGCAGTCACTTTTGACAGTGTCAGGTAACCAGGGCCAGATTAAGGTTTTGAGGGGCCTAAAGATGATAAGAGGGAAGGGCCTATATACAGTATGTGCTACTGTACTACTGTATATTATATGCATAAAAAAGGGGATATTTAATCTGGTATATAATAACTATAGAGCCTTAATAAACATAACAAAGGTCATTTACTTAGCCACCTTGTGAACTTGTGACAAAGATTTAAGTTTAAGAAACACAAATTAAGGCCTAAACTCGAGGGCCAAAGGCTTCCTTATATGTTTTTCTGTGCACAACTACTGTAGAATCACTGATAGTTTTATTTTTTATCAGCATAAATTTAAGGTTGGAAGTGTATCTGAAGCAATATTTACATTGGGATCCTGGTTTGCTGAATTAGTAACACTAAGGTTTTGTACCTAGGGCAAAGATATATAGGGTTTACAGTACTTATATCTGAGGGAGTTTTAACCTAAAGTGGCGAATGTGTTACCTGACATTGTCAAAGGTAACCTCCGCCAGATGGAGTTCGGGTGATGTGAGAGGTGACGTCAGTGTACTGAATATAAGGAGTCTTAATGGACTTCTTCTCATGAATGTTCATTAATCTATGGAGCTTGATGTGAACATCATTGTGGACAAGTTTGCTAAAGTACATCCTCTTAGGATGGAACAAGTTGACATTATGAAGAATTATGACATACAGTGGGGTATGCTATAACAAATCTAATTGGTTCTAGAACCTTGTTCGTTATAGCATTCGTTCGTTATAGGATTAATCCGTTCCAGGCCCCCAAATACAACCACTTAACACTGAAAAATATAATATAAAATTGTAAAAATTGTAAAAAAGTGCATAAATATGCATCTAAACCCCTGAAATAAAGAATATCATTAATATTTGTAATAAAAAAACAATAAATTAGAAAAAAAAAAATTAAATAATGTTCGTTGTAGGAGTTTCGTTCGTTATAGCATTCTCAATTTTATAGGTAAAACCGTTCGTTATAGGAATATTCGTAGTAGGATCCGTTCGTTATAGCATACCCCACTGTACCTGTATTATAATTAGCTTGCTATGTACATTTAATGCTTATTGATGTGTGTGTGTGTGTGCGGTGTTTTGCATATGTCAGTTTCTGTATACATACTGTACTATAAAGTGCTATCCCATTTGGACAATCGTCTTTTGTGTGATTTTTGCCATCCCATTTGGACGATTTCCATATGGATGATTATAGCTAAAAATCGTCCATACATCACAAATTCTGTTAGAAATACTGTACAGTATTTATTATAGCAATATATTATTAAATTGGTGGCATACTCTTAATAAATGCAAGGCATGCATTGTATGCCTTGTAGAAAGCAAAATATATTTTTAAATAGTATCTTCAGTAATACAGATTTAATTTTAGTCTTCACAGTTTTCACTCAGGAAAGTCGAGGAGACTCAGTGTCCCTCAATGCATGCAGAAGGATAAGCCGCATGCCCTCAATGGACATGTAGACTTAATCATCCTTTCAATAACATGTTAAAATGAACTTTATTGTGTTCGAGCATAAGGAATTTGAGCCATTTTAGTCAAATTTAATACTTTTCCCTTAATAAGCATGAAGTCTTGTGTTATACGGTAATACCTGTATTATATTACCTAAGAGTTGTTGTTCCATAAGAGTGGCTATTTAATAAGGTTTCTGTAAATGTAATGGGTACAAATGCATGCAATTCGAAAACTGCATTCACTTGTCGAGAGGCTATGTAGACCTGCGGTGGCTCTCCGCCGGCTGGACAAAACTGGTCCACATTATTATTTTTAAAATTTCTAAATAACCCTACAGTCCGCTTTCAGTTATATTTTTTTCACTTGGGAAAGTTAAGTATTCAGTTTTCTGTTTTACTTGAAATAATAATAGGCTCATATACCGGAAAATAAAAGTATTTACTAATTATTTAAATGTTCAGCAATAAGATCATTGGCAACTTTACACAGGGCCAGCATTGTGCATGATGCTTAGTCATTTGTTTTAACAACTTTATTTCTAAATTACTGTAGATCACACTGAAAGCTTAATACAGTATTCCTTTGCTGTAAGTATTTTTGCACCCATTATTTAATGATTTATAATAGATACTTTGTCAGATGCCATTGATATAATTTAAGAAATTAGGTGTTAATGAAAGCTTGACAACCCTTATTTAGAGGAAGGCCATATCCTACTTGATATTTGATTTGATAACTGATGTATGTGGGTGTTCTGCATGCCTCATCAGTGCAACCACGGTAAGCCACTGTATTAAATATATTAACGTGAATGAATTATAGGAATAAAATATGAATTATATTAGGATTAACAAATGAAGATTATTATTTTAATTATTATTATTTTAATTGTTGTTGATTTGATAATTAAATATTATTCTTTTGTATTGAAAGAATTTTATGTTATACTTGTGCAGTATTTGTATTCGTATTCATGAAAAAGTGAAGTATTTGTATATCCTATCAGTAAGTCAGGTTGACAAGCTAAAACAGATGGAAATAGTGAGGTCACTTAGTTAAGTCATGAGTTTGGGAGGAAACAGTCAGTTCTGTCATCTTTATAATAAAACATTACTAATACAGTAAAACCTCGATTAACCGACCACATATGGGGGGAAGGGGCCGGCGTATAATCCAAAAGGTCGGTTAATAGTACATTAAGTCTACGGAAATAAAACACATATTTTCAAAGTACCTTTCCCTAACCTACCTCATTTAAGTCCCTCTATTCATTTTTGTTCATTTGCCATTCATATTTCAATAGAATTTGCTTTAAAACATTAACCACTTTAGTAAATAAATATGATCCAGCACAGAAACCGTGAATAAAAAATGGAAAAGTCAAAGAACATATCACAAAAATTGTGACCAAGTCCCAGGTTGCTGATCTGACTTTCTGCCTCATTTCCGCACAATTGCAGGGTCTCAATTGTTTCTCTTACTATTGACAACACAACATACATACAGGTACATTGTTTCCCACTCTTGATTTTTTTTTTCATTTTGCATTTCTTTTTGGTTCTTTATTATTATTATTATTATTATTATTATTATTATTATTATTATTATTATTATTATTATTATCATCATTAGCATTATCAATATTAATATTATTACATTATCACCCCCAGGCCCCAATGTGAGTCAGTGACCTGTGCCCTGGTGGGCTAATCCCCGGTAAAAAAAAAAAAATTAGGGGTTCGGGATTGACGGTTAATCAGAAAGTCGGTTAATCGAGGTTTTACTGTACCTGTATAAATTTTGTATATTTTTTAAATTCTTAATATACTGTACATAATTCATATATTCCAATACATGTTATTCATTCATCCAAATATAATTCATAATATATTCCTATAATAAACAGAGTTTCTAATAGAATTTTTGATGTACGGACAATTTTTAGCTATAATTGTCCAAGTGGGAATCTTCCGAGTGGTAAAAAATCGTCTATCTGGGAATCGTCTTATTGGCATGTACAGTTAACCCTCACTTTACGCGGTTAATGTAACCCGGAGGGTCCCGCGTAAAGTGAGAAACGCGTAAAGTGAATAACATAACATACTGTATGGGATTAATTGAAATGGAGTCCGGGCCGATCCCCAAACTCCACTTTTTGACGACACACAACTATGTTGTAGTAAAAATATTATCTTAACTTTATGATGGTATGCACACACAATTAATAATTAAGAGAAATATCAATAATATTAGGTTTTTTAACACTTACATTAGTAGAAAAAATGGCTGGGCACACGGGGATGGGCGGTTGGTTCCGAGGCAGAGGGCAGATTATTGGCCCTCACCTGTGTCACTTGTATCAATTGTATCACTATCCACCACAGAGGCTTGCAGGGCCTCTTTGTCAAACTCCCCAAAGTCCATATAAGTCCATATCCTCACCATAATTATCACTATCACTGACTTGGGCCGGCTGTGGTGGGTGGCGGGTGAAGAACTGGTAATGTTTTGATGACTGGGCGACCTTGTGCGCACCATGTTCGCGCCGCTTGCACAACATGGCGGATGGCGGGAGGTTTGGATCCAAAAATGGCGTGGCTCGTCAGCCGCTCTCCGCGTAAAGGGGTACACACACCGCGGAATGTGAGCATCCTGGGTTCCGGCAGGGCACCGCGTAAACGTGGAAACGCAGAATGTGGGACCGCGTAAAGTGAGGGTTAACTGTACATAATCACTTTACAAAGCTATGTAATGTATAAACAGTACAATTATATCTCCGTTAGCCGGAATCCCTCAAACCCGGAACTCTCTGATAGCCGGAATTGAAATTTTATCGGAAAATCGTTCCCAAAGCTGGAATTTTCGGGAAAATTACGGCTTTGGGGACGATTTTCCAAGGGCACATTTTCCAGAAAATTGTGAGAAAATTCCGGGGATGGGGGATTTTTTTTTCCGGCTTTGAGAGCGTCGTCTCGTTACCTGGAAATCTCTCATTCCCGGAATTGCTCTGTACCAATTGTTCCAGCTAGCAGAGATATCACTGTATTTTGTAAATCAATAAAACTACTATAGGTATACATTTATTTAAGTAAATATTAGCTAATTAACAATTAAAAATACGGTGTTGTAGAATGAGGGGTAAAATTCCATATACTTTTTTTTTAATCTGGACTAACCGCAACTATAAAGACTGAAAGATTGCATCGGTCAAATTTGAGGTTTGGATCCGGCCCTCATGCATTGGGAGTCAAATGATAGTTAACTCCTAAGCATCATCATGTTTATTATATGCAGGTTAATAGTTAATGATAAAAGAAATAGACCTTTATTTTAACTGCGGCTAATCATACAGATAAATCTTTTTACAATATCTCTTGCTCGGGGTTAGGTTAGGTTATGTTCTTGTCCATCGCAAGCGACAATGCATAGAGATTTATCCATTATTTTAACCTTGCTCTATTTCGATATTCATTGTACAGTATTCCCCAAAATCTAAAGGTCCATCAAGTAATTGAAATTACCCAAATTTAAAAACACTCTGTTTATTATTTTATTATACAGTGGAACCAGAAAGTTGGCCAGGGCCTTGGAAAAGATAGATTTATGGGCCCCCTTTTGGATTTTGAACGATTAATAATATCTATCTACTGTATAACACTTTTGTTGTACGTACCTATTTTTAGTGTTCCATTTAATTTTATTAACTACTTTACATATATATTTAATATTTATATCACCGTTTTCCCAGGCCTTCTAGAGGCCTGAGCCCTGGGGATTTATCCCAGGTTCCCCCACCCTCTAAGGGGCCCTGAATAAGTATACTGTACAGTAATTCCCATACCATGCACAAATTTATTTTGTGATATACCTTAGGCATGACTTAAATCACACAAAGTATTCACATAATATTCATGTAATAAAAGGAGTTTTTCAGAAGTACATTTAAAGCCCTTTACTGTTTCATATTTAAATTTGCCACAGATTTTTACACTTCTTTACTAATTTTTGTATTAACTTTAAATTTTTTTTTTTTTTTAATATCTGGCATTTTCAAAAGGTAGTTATCTTCTTTTTTTTAGATATAATTTATTATTTATGTAGCTAGTAGAATGGGTAATGTTTTTGATTAGAGGTAGTATTAGCAGTACTCATTGTATGGTAACATGGTTTGTACCCCTATCACGCCCTCTGAGTAACCTCTTACACATGGAAATATGGAAGATCAATTCTTTATGGCCCAGCTTTAATGATTATAATTCTTGTTTAAGTGTGTCCCAATTCAAATACTTATTTTCCCTCAGATAAAGAAAAAAGGTAGAACAAAAAGGAATGTGGCTCATGGTGAAGCACAGGTAGCGATAGCTTTCAACTTCATGAGAAAGAGACGCCAGGACCTGACACTCGGTGCTAAAGTGAAGGTAGGCATATTTTCTATAAGTGTAATCATTGGGAAATAACCCTTGAAACTTCTTTTTGTATTTTTTTTTTCCTTGCAGTTTTATTCCAGTCATATGTGTTTGACCTACCCCTCTCGCCATATGCATCATGACCTCCCTTTACCCCTCTAGCCATATGCATCATGACCTCCCTCTACCCCTCTAGCCATATGCATCATGACCTCCCTCTAGCCACATACATCATGACCTCCTTCTAGCCATATGCATCATGACCTCCCTCTAGCCATATGCATCATGACCTCCCTCTACCCCTCTAGCCATATGCATCATGACCTCCCTCTAGCCACATACATCATGACCTCCTTCTAGCCATATGCATCATGACCTCCCTCTAGCCATATGCATCATGGCCTCCTTCTAGCCATATGCATCATGACCCTCCAGCTATATACATCATGACCTCCCTACCCCTCCAGCTATATACATCATGACCTCCTTAACCCAGCAGCTATATACATCATGACCTCCCTCACCCCTCCAGCTATATACATCATGACCTCTACCCCTCCAGCTATATACATCATGACCTCCCTTAACCCAGCAGCTATACATCCTCCCCTCCCCTCCAGCTATATACATCGTGATCCCTTTACCCAGCAGCTATATACATCATGACCTCCCTCTACCCCTCCAGCTATATACATCATGACCTCCCTCACCCTCCAGCTATACTGTACATCATGACCTCCCTCTACCCAGCAGCTATATACATCATAACCTACCCCTCCAGCTATATACATCATGACCTCCCTCTACCCCTCCAGCTACATGCATCATGACCTCCCTTACCCAGCAGCTATATACATCATGACCTCCTCTACCCAGCAGCTATATACATCATGACCTCCTTCTACCCAGCAGCTATATTCATCATGACCTCCCTCTACCCCTCCAGCTATATACATCATGACCTCCCTCTACCCAGCAGCTATATACATCATGACCTCCTCTACCCAGCAGCTATATACATCATGACCTCCCATTACCACAGCTATATACATCATGACCTCCCTCTACCCAGCAGCTATATACATCATGATACCCAGCAGCTATACACATCATGACCTCCCCTCCAGCTACATACATCATGCAGCTATATACATCATGACCTCTACCCAGCAGCTATATACATCATGACCTCCCTCTACCCAGCAGCTATATACATCATGACCTCCCCCTCTCAGCAGCTATATACATCATGACCTCCCTCTACCAGCAGCTATATACATCATGACCTCCTCTCCCCTCCAGCTATATACATCATGACCTCTCCCCCTCCAGCTATATACATCATGACCTCCTTAACCCAGCAGCTATATACATCATGACCTCCTCTACCCCTCCAGCTATATACATCATGACCTCCCTTTACCCCTCCAGCTATATACATCATGACCTCACCCCTCCAGCTATATACATCATGACCTCCCTTACCCCCTCCAGCTATATACATCATGCTCATATACATCATGACCTCCCTCTACCCCTCCAGCTATATACATCATGACCTCCCCTCTACCCCTCCAGTTATATACATCATGACCTCTACCCCTCCAGCTATATACATCATGACCTCCCTCTACCCAGCAGCTATATACTTCATGACCTCCCTCTACCTCAGCAGCTATATACATCATGACCTCTACCCAGCTACCCCCTCTACCCCTCCAGCTATATACATCATGACCTCTACCCCTCCAGCTATATACATCATGACCTCCTCTATCCAGCAGCTATATACATCTTGACCTCCCCCAGCAGCTATATACATCATGACCTCCCTCTACCCCTCCAGTTATAAACATCATGACCCTCTACCCCTCCAGCTACATACATCATGACCTCCTCTACCCAGCAGCTATATACATCATGACCTCCCTCTACCCCAGCAGCTATATACTGTACATCATGACCTCCCTCTACCCCAGCAGCTACATACATCATGACCTACCTCTACCCCAGCAGCTATATACATCATGACCTCCCTCTACCCCTCCATCTATATACATCATGACCTCCCTCTACCCCTCCAGCTACATACATCATCACCTCCCTCTACCCCAGCAGCTATATACTGTACATCATGACCTCCCTCTACCCCTCCAGCCATATGCATCTTGAATCTCCCAAACCATCCATATATTAGTTTCCTTACATCTTTGCCTGACCTTCAGTGCCACCTATGTACTAATCTACTGGGCATAAGACTATTCTTAGATTGTGATTTGTTGTCTTGGCTTCTATATATATGTTTGTTTGGTCATGTGTAAAAGATATATAATGGAGTAGCAATTGGAGAGATCTGTTTCATTGTGTGTGCTTTAATACATGTTAGTTCATGAAGAAGGATGCATGTTTGGTTAATAGGGGATGCAAATGGTAGATGATTCCGGTCACCAAGTGCTGACGACACATGTTACTGCAACGATGTGTTTTTCAGAAATACACTAAGCGGTTAATGTTAGTAAATATATTTGGAAGAGTGTACAGTTGGAGGAAGTTAATGTACTGTAAATGTAAATGAATAAGTTTTAAAGTTATTAATATAAATAAGGAAGGGTGACAGGGAGATATAAATGTTAATTTGAATGGAGAGAAAATGGAGAGCAGGGACATTTTTCACATACAGTATCAAAGTCTAGCTGTCAGCAAAACTATAGATATAGTACTTGATATCCCTGTTAGCCAGAACAATTGGTGCAGAGCTCTTCCGGGGATGAAAGATTTCTGGGTAACGAGACTACTCTCTCAAACCCGGAAATATCCCACATCCCCAAAATTTTTCAAGGTCCCAGGAAAAGTTTCTAGGAATTCTCCAGAATTACATATTACAGGGTACTTCATCCTTGGAATTTTCTCCCAGACCCAGAAAAAACAAATTTGGAGAGTTTCTTGAAGTTTTCTCAGAATTTTACAGAAAATGCGCCTGATCTTCAACCTCAGAATTTGCTTCCAGACCAGGAAAAACATTTCTTGGAGAGATCTTCTGGAATTTTCTCATAATTTTTCAGAAAATGCACCTGATTTTCAACTTCAGAAATTCGTTCACAGACCCCAATTCTGAACCAGTTTCAATTTCAGGTATTTCAGTGTTCCGGCTAACGGGGATATTACAGCTCCTCCCTGACTTACGACCTACTCAACTTACGACCACCCGCACTTACGACCTGCCTCAGCCGTACCAAAATTTTGTCAAATTACATATTTTCGAGTCCAACGTCAGTAGACAGACAAAATTTTCGTTTGTAATTCACTTTAAAATGGCTGGCAAGCTTAAAAGCGAGAGTTTTGTGGTGCTGAGAAGAAAAAGACACCCAATTTAGATTTTCTATGTATTATTTAAGCATTTTCGACTTACGACCATTTCGACTTACGACCTGGATTTGGGTCCCTAACCCCGTCACAAGTCGGGGAGGAGCTGTACTTATCCTGTATATATTTATTCAGTGGTATTTTTTCTTTTTTACAGGTCCTTGAAATGCTTGACCATGAACCCAAAGTACCACAAGGTAAAATCGCCTCCATGTTTCGTGTAAGTCAGAGCCAGGTTTCTCGGATCATGAAGAACAAGGAATCCATTATGTCACAGTGGAACAGGTTTGCCACTCCTGATCGAAAACGTTGCAGACTTGGTAAAGCTGGTGCATTGGAACAAAAATTGGTTGACTGGTATAAGGAAGCAAAAAAGGAAGACTTACCCATATCTGGGCCTATTCTTATGGAAAAGGCAAAGTCAATTGGTAATGAGATGGGAATAGAATTTAAACCTTCAGCTGGATGGCTTGGAAGATGGAAAGATAGAAATGGAGTAACTCTTAAAAGATTTAAAGACAAAGATGGAGCTCCATCAGTCACAAAAGTTGGAAACCACTGGAGAAGATACATGTTTACCAAAGCAACTAAAGAATACACTCTTCAGAATGTATGGGTTGTTGATGAAATTCCTCTAACTTATAATTCCCTACCAGAATATATGGTACAAGGAACTTCAAATGGAAGTGATAGGTTGTATGTTATATTAGCATGCAATCTAGCTGGTACTGACCGTAGACCCGTAGAAGTGATTGGCAAAACTCAGTCACTTAATTCCCTTACTCTTCCAGTGCCTTTCCATCATCATCCCAAAGCTGCTATTACAATAGAGTTCTTTTCCTCTTGGCTACGGGAATGGGACCGTGAACTGCGTTCAAAGAGAACTAAAATAATAGTGTTGTTGAATAAAGCAGCCCATCATCCAGAAAATCTACATCTTTTCAACATTAATGTAACATTCTTCCCCCCAGGTACAGCAACAGTTTTGCAGCCATTAAGGCTGGGGATCATCCACACTTTTAAGGCCTTGTATAGACACCAACAAGTTACTTATGTTATGTCAAAGGCACAGGCAAATGATCAAATGAATCATACAAATATGTTTAACCACAGCATTTTGAAGCCACCATTACTGGCTCAAAATTTATCTGTTTTGGATGCTGTTTTTATGATTTACAAAGCTTGGAAACATGTTAGTCCTGAAACCATAGTGAAAGGAGTAGTGAAAGCTGGACTTAGTAAAGATGTAGATGCCTTGAATGTTAATGACCAGGTTAATGCTCCTATTGGGATTAGCCAACAAGACTTTGATGCATTTGTATTGTCTGATGATGGACTAAATATTGATGAACATGAGGAAGCACCAACCCAAACCTTGAACTCGCATGCAGGAATGATCACTAACATTGTTCAGTATCCACATTATTCAAATGTGTTTAATAATCCAAACATTAAAAACCAGCAACCTAACCAACATATCGAATCTATAGTAGAAAATGTTCCTACTCCACCAAAGGCATGTGAAGCAGTTTTTGCATGCCACGTTCTGAGGCAATATTTACAGCACCAAGCTGGGCGATTATTTGATGAATTTTCAGAACTGGAGTCAGCTATTCATCATGATATGATCCTGGAAACGAGGCCTGACTTGAGAAGTGAATTCCAATCTGACCCCTTACATGATCCAAGTTCTGTTCATAGCTTATTAGCACAACAGGTGGCCCATGAGCAAAAGCTGGACTACATTCAAAAGGTGCAAGATGAACTTCAACAGCAAAAAATTAAAAAAGAAATGAAGAAGGCAGCACAGTCACCGGCACCATCTCAGAATTCACACAGTACCCTCTCCACACCAACACAAGGGGTCAGAACAAATATGCATAATCAACTTTTAGGGATGCAACGACATGATATGCATGGTCAGGAGTTGGCGAGACAAGAAATAGCAAGACCAGAGTTTGAGCATCCCATGCAAAGGCAAGAGCTGCTACGCCAAGATGTGATAAGACCAGAATACCGACAGGAAGTTCCTCAGGATAACTCTCGAACATCACTTGTAGAATTAAGGGCTGTAAAGATGTCAAACTTTAGACCTGTCCATCCAGATGGTGGAAATGAGGGCAGGAATGACATAAAAACTGATCCATTGGCAATACCAGCGGATTTACGCAATCTTCCTGTAACTAATCACCATACGGGGGCTGAACTGCATCACCAGGGAATCCCAACAAACATGACACAGAACCTACGGCAGCCAGATACAAGATTGGAAAACCCCGGAGTACCTTATTACACAATACCAAATCCTCTACATCATTACATGCAGCCAAAATGATGCTTTATGGACACTTTAGTATATATTGTACAGGTATCATAATTTTCATTTTGTTAAGTGTATCATCCTACAAAATATTTACAATGATCAGTGATGTTGACTGTCAAGTACAAATTTTGTTGAAAAAATTCGCAGCTACATTGCATGAATAATGCATGTTGATATATACTGTAGATAAAAATTTTAAACAAAACACATGTATATTTTTGTAAGTTGTGCCATGGTGTTTTTCTTATTTCCAGAGTTGTAAAGTAACAAAATAAATTTACTTGAGTACTGTACTCAAGTACCGGGTAACATTTTTGGGTATTTTTAAAAAGTACGGGTATACGTACTCAAATTTTTTAGTACAGTACTTTTACTTAAATATGATTTGCTAATAGTTTTACTTAAATATGATTTGCTGATAGTTTTACTTAAATATGATTTGCTAATAGTTTTACTTAAATATGATTTGCTAATACTTTTACTCTTAATATAATTAAAAACAAAAATCATTACTCATTACATGCCCCAAACAAAGAGTTTTTATGTCTGTGACAAACTAATAATAATTTTTTTTTTAATTTTTATTAATTAATTATTAACCATAGTAAATGAGTTGCCTGGGTGGAGCCGTGAAGGGTAAGGTGTGGGTGTAGGAAGACACCACAAGGTCACATACCTAGAGGTCTCGTGAGGTGACATGAGGTCAGGTCAGGTCAGGTCAAGTGGCAGTGGCCATGACAGCAGACTTTCCCTTTGATCTTGTGTCCATTAGCACCTTGACCACGCACCTCACCTAGCCTATCCTCTTATCCTCCATTGAATCCACTCTCTTCTCCCCCATCTTTCCTTCAGGGGCTTGGTCTTCCCATTAGATGTCAGTTGCTCGTTGTAAATACCTGTACCAAAAATGAATTTCAAAGCGGCTGTGATTCTAAAATGCTTCACATAATTCCATCTTAGATGTAAAGCCTGTATCTATACATATGTGCCAGACTGAGTGTATTTAAAATTCTGCTTAAATAACTAAGTAGCACTGCCCCTCCTCCCAGTACCCATCAAATGTTACATGGTGTGAAAAATTCAGCTACTCATTAGTTAGAATTGAAAAGTGACATCACGACAGTCACACCCCAATTAGAGGGACAGTTCACTGTGAGTCTTAGTCAGAATCAGTCACTCTAGAGGCAACATTCATCCACAAACTCCTCAACTGAAGGAGCTACTGAGGTCTTTCCCGACATTATGTGACGGCAGACCTAGTCACAAGACCATGTGGCCAGACACTAATACATTGGTACTCATCTCGCAGGACATGCTATGACTTATGATATAGAGACAATATTGATATGATTTGAGGACAATAGGAGTTAGAACCCACCAAAGTGTGGGAAGCGTACAAGAATTAAATTAAATTATTACGAATAAGTAGGTGGTGACAAATAGTGGTTAGTGACTCGTTCTGTGCTAGGAGGTCCCTGACATTGGGACAGTCAAGGCAAATAGTGTTGAAGGGTGTTAGTGCTGGGGCAGATACAGAGTTTACAGGAAGAGAAGTCCGGGTCATCCTACACCTCAGATACATGCCAGATAGGTTTGTATCCTAATCTAATGCGAGCAGAGACAACAGTCTACGGACCATAAGTCCACATCGACGAAACTTGTATGGATAAGGAAGAAAGTGATCGTAGTGTTGGATGGATATATTTTCAGCCTGTTCACTATCCCTGCGATGGATTGTAGGAAGAAGAGCGGCTGAACATATCTCTTTTAATAGGTTATGCTGGGCTTATATTTAGGCCTAAAAGATCCTGATTAGACAGCCATAATTTTGAGAATCAGTTGTTGATTAATCTCAATATAAATATTTGCAAAAAGCATGTGTAATGCTGTCTTTTATTTTTATCTTTACTTAACTAGTTTTTTGTAATTTACAGTGGATTTTAATATTTGAGACAATTAATAATTTTCTTGTTACTTTTTTTACTTTCAGTACTTGAGTACGTACTTTATGAATGAGATACTTTTTTACTTCTACTCGAGTACATTGATCTTTGGATATTTTTACTTCTACTTGAGTAATATTTTGCCAATGTAACAATACTTTTACTTAAGTATCAAAGTCCTGTACTTTTAACAACTCTGCTTATATCTAATGTGACAAATCACCAATGTATTTAATTCTTTTATATGAAATAAGAAATAGCTCTCTGTGTTTGTATATTATAAGAGCCTTCTATTTTAAACTACTTCTGTATTGAGGATTTCCATATCAGTATTCATGTAAGTTTTTACATAGCCATTAAGAGCAAAGCCAAGTCACATCCTAGAAAGGACTTCGGGTACAGTTCTATAGTTCTGTATATAAAATGTACCTAACAGATCTTTCTATATTTAACCCCTACACCTCGGGCTAGGGCGTCGCTGGCCATACCCCTCATGCGGGGTAAATCAAGATAAATCAACTTTTCCAAAAATTATGTTCAACCTTTTTAAATGATAAAACAATAAAAAAAGGTAAGAAAAACTATATATTGACCCTTTAGAAACTTACCTGGGGTCGCAGTGGCGAGGGAGATAATGGGACAGCTTGTTTTGACAGGGAGCACTCGTGGTCACTACACACTTAGAGACCATTTTCTGCTTGCCTTTGTGTCCAGGATGGCCAGTAATGCACATATTTACTGAATCAATATTTATTTATAGTAAAGTATTCATTTAGAATTTATTTTATCTGCATTATTTTTAATAAAAAGTGCTCGGCAATACACACGCAGTCTGTCACCAGGCTGTCTGGCTGTCTTTGAGTTTGGGATAGCAAGTAATGCATATAAATAATTATCAGAATAATAATTCCACAAATAAATACATTTATAGCATAATCATAGCATTATTTTCCAGTAATACTACACTACTTTAGCATGAGAGGTTGAGGAACGACTCTCCATAGCGACAGGCTAATGTGTTCTAACCGCACTGAGCACACCAATGCTACCCTGCGTGTGGCGTGACCACCAAATAGTCATGCTGGAACATAATAACCCGCACTGGGCATTCACACAACGGCGAAAAAAGGCACGCATTCCGGAACGTCAACCGGGGCACCCTAGATGAACGTTCCCGAATGTCAACCGGGGCGTAGGGGTTAAATTTGCAACAAACAAGCTGGAGTCCTTAGGTTAAATACTGTACAGTACCTCTATTTCAAGGGTCAAGTAATCCCATTAATCATTGTACAATATATCATATGTCTTGCATAAAATACTTCCATTACAGTATATACAGTATACTTTACCAAATATAATCCGTTCTCCCATTCTGCAATTCCCACAATGCGAGCAGTACTGTATTTTAAAACCCTATTTAATGATGCATCCTGTACTACTATGTTTTATTATATCTGGTGAGTATATGAAAAGTCTAAAGAGAATGTGAATCAGCAAAGGAAAATAATTTGAAAAACATATGATGATTTTACAAGAACAAGAAATAAGAGTTGAGCAGCAGTTAGTATTCAGATTCAAGCCCCACACATTGTACAGTTCATCTGTGTTGAACTTTTTCCAAATGGCCTAGTAACATCATCTCATTGCTTTCATCACAGTACTTGCTTGCTCTTTTTTTTATTTGTTTTGTACCCCTCTCGAGCACGCAATAAATTTTTAAGTCTCCATGACCTTTTTTTTTTTTTTTTTACGGGAATTAGCCCACCCCGGCACAGGTCAAACGACCCACAATGGAGCCTGGGGGGGCGAAAAAAAAAAGAACGGAAAGAAATTGAAAATATAGAAAAAAAGGTTATACTGTATTAATCTACACCACGAAGATGCCGGAAAACCAGCTTTTTAAAGTGAGACAGATTGTAAGAGCATGGAAACACAGAAGAAGGCAGAGCATTCCACAGTTTGGCTGTGTGAGGAAAGAAGGCGGTACTATAACGGGTTATTCTCGTATGACCGACATCCACAGAGAAATGGTGGGCACCGCGGGCAAGACGTGTGTTACGAACCCACGCCCTTGCTGGCGGTACACAGGATGCCAAATCCACTGAACTTTGCCCGTTAAAGTACCTGTAAAAGAGAGAGAGTGAAGCAACATTGCGGCGAAGAGAAAGGGGAGAGAGATTGTCAACTAAAGGAGGAGAGTTAATAAGACGAAATGCCTTTGATTCCACCCTATTTAATAGTTGGACCGAAGAAGAGCCACCCCAGATATGAGAGCAGTACTCCAAGTTAGGACGAATGAATCCCTTATACACTTGGAGCAACTGCTCAGGAGTGAAGTAGCTGCGGCATCTGTACAGCATTCCCAACTTTCGGGAGGCAGCTTTAGTTATACTAAGGATGTGTGATTTCCAGGACATATTGGAGGAAATGGTGAGGCCTAACATATTTATTTCAGAATTTGGGAGGATGATAGCGTCCTGAAATGTAATTGGTGGGAGATCGTCTAATTTACAAAGTGTAATTGGTAAACATTGAGTTTTGTTACTATTGAACTTAACCAAGTTTGTATCTCCCCATTCAGAGATGCTGCTCAGATCCGCATTGATAGAAGTAATGATATCAGTTCTAGAAACAGATCTAGTTTGAGAGTTAGGAGGAAGGGGAAAATGTGAGGAAGAGTGAAGAGTAGAATCATCGGCGTAAGAATGGATAGAATTAGTTGTAGTGTGAAGTAAATAATTGATAAAAAGAAGGAAGAGAGTTGGTGAAAGAACAGAACCCTGTGGGACGCCACTATTGGTAGAGAAAGAGCGAGAAATCGATCCCTCGACAACAACTGCCATGGATCGATTCTCAAGGAAGCTAGAGATGAGAGAACAAAGTGGGGGAGAGAAACCAAAAGAGGGAAGTTGGAGATAGCAAAGACTTGTGCCATACCCTGTCAAATGCTTTGGAGATCTCGAGGGCCACGACAAAAGTTTCCCCATAATCCCTAAGAGAGGATGACCAAAGATGGGTGCAATAGGAGAGCAGATCACCAGTAGATCTCGCCTGGCGAAAGCCATACTGGTGATCCGACAAAAGAGAAAGGCGTTCAAGGTGACGGAGAAAATGGGAGTTCAAAATAGTTTCGAAAATCTTAGAGAGGGATGAAGTTAGGGCAATGGGGCGATAGTTAGAGGGATTAGAATGGTCACCCTTCTTCGGGATGGGCTGAACCAAGGCATGCTTCCAAGAAGAAGGAAAAGTTTTGGTTTTGAGGCAGAGGCGAGCAAGCACAGGGGCCAGGGCTTCAGCACACTCCCTCAGAACATGAGGGGGTATTCCGTCCGGTCCATGCGCCTTACTCACATCCAACCTGGATAACGCACCGGCAACCCTGCGAGTGGAGATTATAGGAAAGTGCATAGGTTCAGTAGGAGGGATAGAGTGGGAATCATCTAAGGTGGAATTAGAGGAGAATAAGGTGCCAAAGAGGTTGGCTTTGTCAGGGGGGAGAGTTGGCTAAAGAGTTATTGGGATGGAAGAGGGGAGGAAAAGAAGGCGTGCAGAAGTTGTTACAGATGTTTTTAGTTAAGGACCAGAAAGATTTACTAGAGGAAGAATTAGTCAGGACAGCGGTCTTTCTTTTAATAAAATTCCGGATGGCCCTACAACGATTCCTAGAAGTAATGAAAGAGGTGTGGGTACTAGGAGAAGGAGATAGTTTCATAGCTCGATATGCCCTATCTCTCACCCTGCAAGCAAGAGAGCAGGAGCGATCAAACCATGATTGTAATGTGAAAGTTTTGGTAGAAGATGGGATAAATGCACTCATACCGCCCTGTATAACCCCAGCAATGCTGTCAGCACATACTGAGGCATCCCGAGTGGAAAAGCAACATTCATCCCAAGGAAAGTCGGTGAAGAATTCTCGCAAGGATTGCCAGCTTGCCCTCCGATAGTGCCATAGTTGACGTTTAGAGGGGGGTGGGGGAGGTGGCCGTGCCCAGTTTGATTTAATAGAAATAAGGTTGTGATGAGAAGACCCTAAGGGGGCAAAAATTGAGTATGAATAGTCTGAGGGGTTAGAGGTAAAACAAAGATCAAGAATGTTAGCAAGTTGATCGTGTCGATCAGGAATGCATGTAGGGTGTTTGATTATTTGTTCCAAATCATTAAGTAAGGAAAAAGAGAGTGCCTCAGCTCCACCTGGGTCATCCCTTGCAGAGCCAAGCCACTCTCTGTGATGTACATTGAAATCCCCTAGGTAGAGGATCTCGGTGTTTGGGTGTGTGGATAGCAATGACTCATGGCAAGAAGTGAGATAGTCAAAGAGTTCGAAATAGTTGGTAGAGTTGGGAGAACAGTATAGGAAACAAAGAAAAATAGTCACTGTAGGTAGAGATATTTTGAGCTTATGGGACCTGTCATCACTACTCACATGTGGTCTGGGCATCTTCGTTCTGTGGCGTATTTATTCCACATTTTTTTTATTCTGTGATTTATACATCACTAGCTTCATTAATGCTTATGCTTTAACAAAAGCCAAAAAAATGAGACGTTTTCACTCCAAATAGTAAATAAAAATACAGGTGTCTGTCATTTACTTAGTGGTATTTCAGTTTAGCAATTTAAAATTCTTAACATCCTTTGCTGTTTAATGCTCTGCAATTTTTGGTTGAGCAATTTTCAACTTGCTGGGAAAATTTGGGGGAGGGAAGTTGGAAAAACTTGGGATTCTGTGCTCCAAGTGCGCAACATTACAATACTGTAATGTGGTTTAGAAATAGAGAAAATACTGTACTTAATGCTTTACAGTATACAGTACAGTATTTTAAACTAGTTTTATAGTATGTACAGTATACAGTGGTCCCTCGGTTAACGAATTACCTTCCATAAGAATCTTCAATTCGGTTAACGAACAAAAATTTGATTAACAAAATCCTTACGAAAATCACGTTTTGTTGTGAGCTGCAGCTGATGGGCTAGTCTGCCAGTAATCTGTTCTATGTTTACATTCGATTCCAATGGAGTAAATATCAATAAAGTTGTGCTCTTTAATATTTTTGCATGTTTCATTAAAATTATTAGTCACATTAACATTTATTTAACATATTGATAATATATGCAGTACTGTATAGGGAACTAGTTTGTTGTGCACCCATCAGATGCGTGAGTCGGTCACAAGGCGTCAGTTGGGCTTTGAAAACAGTGGAGAGAGCATCTATTTTGTTGGTGTCTTGAATATTTTTGCAGTTTTCATTGAAATTATTGGTCATTCTGAACTTTAGTTAACGTATTGATAATATATAGCGCAGTGCAGTGTTGATTTAAAGAAAATAATCTTGAATTACACCAAGAGAACTAAAATTTTTATTGGTGAAATTATTGCATCAAGCATGGGTCCCCTGATAGGTGATTTCTCCTCCATCCCCACTTCTTTCTCTTCTCCC